TTAACCTAAGGAATTTTTAAATTCCTTTCTAGGGGCAAACAGGATACATCTGTTGGGGCCCCCTTGACTGATTGCTTTCCAGGGATAGGGGTAAATGGGATACATCTGTTAGGCCGTAAATAGGATACTTTTGTTGGGCCTCCTTGATTGATTGTCTTGCTATACGTTCATATACGGGAAATGGAGCTGTGGCCACGTGGAACAGCTGGGATAATAGGCGAGTATTTGGCCTTTGTTCTAACAACATTGCAATACCCACACTGGCCATCAGGCGGCACTGTTACACTACTGGATTATGCACCCAAGTGTCACTGGTGGAGTAAGGAAGCCCCATTCCCCTGGCTGTGAATGGGGGGATCTTTGGAGTCCAGGGGTCCGGGCAGCCCAGCAAGGCTCTCCAGCCCCATTCCTAAATGGGGAGGGGTGGGCAGAGGGACTCTGGGGCACCCCCTCCCGAGGGAGGTGATGGGGGGCATAACCGATGAGATTTGCAGGGCCTGCCAGGTCAGCTGGGACCGGTGCCAGGTTCTGTCTCTGTAGAGGCACCCGGCACCCAAGGGGGGATTGGGAGTGTGGTGGCGGAAGGCTGCATTCCACGGGGGGGCCCAGAGCAGTGCGGTGGAAGGGTTAACCTGCCCCCACCCTGCTGTGTTTCAGGCAGGCCTCCTGGGACAGGCAGAGGGTGGCGGGAATGCCAGGCGTATGAGGTCCCTGAGGTCCCTTGCCCTGGGGTGCACACGGGCACTTCCCCCTCCCCCAGGAATCACGCACATGGTGGAACAGGGATCAGAGCCCGCCCATGTCTCTGTCTCACAAACACGCCCAGACACACGCAGGTGCGTGCTCCACAACGCCAGCCCCAGGGAACCCCGGTGAAACAGCCCAGCAGGCTGATGTGTGTCGCCGCTCCCTACCGCAGGTTTCCTGGGACCTGGTGGCTCTTGGACTAGTGCCGCTGGGGCTCCCGCTGGCTGCGCAGCGTGGGGTTCTCTAGCGCACGTTGGAGCGACCTGGGTCCCTTCGCGCTTCGCTCCTCCAGAACCGAGCTGTCCGTGGGGCCCAGGACAGAAATACAAGGGTTAAAGCCAGACCCCGTGAGCTCATCTGCCTGGCTAGTAACATCACCCTGCCTCGGGAATTGCCCTCTCTACTAGTCCAGCTCTGGGCTCCCCTCTTCCCGCTATGAAAGGGCAAAGGAGATGCTGATTATTAATGATCATGATTAGTTCTTGTGCCTGGAGCCTCCTCAGGCCCTGTAAGAACCCACCTGTGGGAGAGCCTGCAGTGTCTCTTTGAGAGAGAGGGGAGGGGGGCCAGGAGCCACAGATCAGCACAGCCCCCCCACGCGCACACACACGCACAGTGAACTTGTGCATGGAAGGCTCCCTTGGCATTACCCCTCCACTCTCCGGTGGAGCGGCAGAGGGAGGCTCGCATGAGCCCAGGGCACAGCTTGGCGAAGGGCTCCGTCTCCGTCCATGTAGCTGTGGTGGCTGCGAGGTCGCTTTTCCCGCTGGGACGTGTGCCGGGGCAGGGCATGGCCCAAGCAGGCAGCTCCTGTGTGATCACTGGACAGGCCACCTGCCCCGGGGGTCTGCCCAGGCCTGGCCTGCCCCCAGACTCACCCCGCATGCCTGCTTCTCAGCCAGAGCGCTGAGCAGGTACCTTGTGCTGCATCGAGCGGGGGCAGTGTGAGAATCCCTGCGGTACGGGGGTGCGGGGAGAGGCACAGACAGAACACCTGGCTCCCCCATTCTGGTCTAGAGCGAGGGCTTGGAGTCAGGACTCCTGGGTTCTAGTCACGTCTCTGGAGGGGAAGGTGTTCTAGTGGGTACAGAGGGGCGGCTGGGCACCAGGACTCCTGGGTTCTAGTCACGTCTCTGGAGGGGAAGGCGTTCTAGTGGGTACAGAGGGGCGGCTGGGCACCAGGACTCCTGGGTTCTACACATGTCGCTGCCACCAACTCACTGTGTGGCTCCGGGAGAGTTGTGGTCCTGCTCTGTGCCTCAGTTTCCCCATCTGTAAAACTGCCGCACCTCGTGGGAGGCCTGAGGCGGAATTAGCCAACGTTTGCCAAGCCTCTGGTGGCCCTGCGTGGAAGCTGCACCAGGCACATACGGTGTGTTACGCTGCCTGATCCCAGAGCCCACCCTGCAGTCCAGCCTTTGGGCTACAGTGGGCTGGCACGACGCCCGCTCAGCAGTTCAGTTCATGGTCCCCTGCTCCTGCGCAGCTGTGGTGTCTGACTGATCTCAGAGGCACCCAGGCACCTGAGACTGGCCTGGGGTTTTCCCCTTCGAGTGCAGCTCTCTAGCACTTCCTCCTGGGACGTTCCCAACCCCACGGAGCAGGAATCTCAGCCCTCGCTCCGCCCAGGCTTTGTGCTTGGCAGGGGTGAGCACAGTCTGGCCCAGGGCCCAGCTGCAGCCACAAAACCTCTGGCTGAAACACTTTCCCACAGCACAGCCGGGTCTGTGCTCCGCATTGGCAGGGGGCCAAAGTCAGGAGAGGGGCCCTGGGGCATCCAGGCCAGGCTGAGCGAACGCAGGGCGCTGGCGTTACGCACTGGCTTTGGCAGTGTGCACTGGCGCCCTCTCGGGGCTGGGCTGGCAGAGGGGATAAGGGATGTACTACTAGTAGCAGCTGAGGGAGATCCCCTGGAACTCAAGTGACAGGCCCTGTGATTTGGAGCCAAGCCCCCACCCCTGCCCTGCTGCAGGCCCCCTGCCGCCTCTGGGCTCACTGCACACCAGGCTCAGATCCCCGCTCCCCGTCCACCCCAGGCAGACACCTCTCCCCCATCTGCTATCCCCCTCACTGACCCCTTCCTCTCCGGTCCCCAGGCCAGCACCCCAGCCACCTCGCCCCCAGGGCCTGCCCCCATTCTCCCTTCCAGCCACAGGGCCCGGGCCCAGGTTCTCCAAGGCCCTGTGTGTGGCTCTCTCTGACCCGCCTCCCTGGGCAGCCCTGGGCCGCGGCCAGCTCCAGCTCCTGTCTGGCTCCTCGGCGGAGCCACATTGTCTCTGTGCAGCCTGCCTGCCCACAGACAATGAGCCCCGTCTCGGGCCCCATGGCTGGCAGCCTCGCTGGGGCTGGGGACGTGGTGCCCTTCCCGCTGCGCCTGGCCCTGCGAATTACGGCGTGAATGGCTGGGGACAAGCCAGCTGCACAGGGCCCTGGAAAGCTCAGGCAGGGACAAGCGGGGGCCCCTTCCCTGGCTCCCCACCCCCCATTCCAGGATCCAACTCAGCCCTACCCGGCCTGGAGCTCATCTGGCCCCGGCCAGAGCCAGAGCCCTGCCTGCCTGTCCTCACAATCCCACCCTGCGGTGCAGGAGCCTTCTCCTCCGCAGCCCCAGGGGTGAGGCCAGCCCAGGGCGGCAAACTCCTGAGGACGCAGCTCAGAGCCAGAACAAAGCGACCGGAACCGACTGCCTCAGCATGGACCCAGCTGCAGGGGCAATTAACCCTCTCACTGGGGCGCGTTCCAAAGGGGGGGCACAGGGCAGGGGAGGTGCCATCAGGATGGGGGGAGGCGCTGGGCACGCAGAGACAGCACCCCAGTGGCCAGGCCGGGCAATGGCTACATGAAGTGCCATCTAGGCTGCGCATTGGGGAGTTGCTGCTACGTGTCCTCTGGGGCAGAAGCCTTTTCCGAGCAGCCCCCTTGCTGGGTGTGTGGCCCTATCTCTGCACAGAGGGTGGTGACCCTTAGCCCCACCTCCCGGGGCAAAGAGAACATTTGTTTACTGCAGTTACAAATCCTGCCCCGAGCCCCTGCGGATGGGCGTGTCCAACAGGCCAAGGACTGTTTAGGAGTCTTTTTCTTCCCCTTTGGTTCTGAAATGGTTTTTTTTTTAATGATCATGCACAGTCTGTAACCAGGACCAGAGGACAGGTGAGACTCAGCCCCAGATCTCAGCCATGGCCCCACG